GAACAAAGCAAAGTAAAGAAGAAATAGCCCTGAATTAACAACTTGCAGGTGGTGAGCAAAGGTCCAAAACACACTGCAGAAATAATCCAGTTTGAGACCGCTTTAATGGCCCTGGCTCCGTAATAGGAAATCTTGGGAATTGGAGTTTGTCATGATGCCAGAACTCTCTGGCAGAGGAGGATAAATGTCTCACAAAACTACAGTTCCCAGAATTCCCTAGCATCGAGCCAGGGACGTTAAAGAGGTCTCAAACTGGATTATTTCTGCAGTGTATTCCAGACCAAGGATGCTGCTGCTGCTGTTGTTGTTGTTGTTGTTGTTGTTGTTGTGTGCCTTTGAGTCATTTCTGACTTACAGCAACCCTAAGGCAACCGTATCATCACGGGGTTTTCTTACAGGATTTGTTCGGGGCCTGTGTGCGAAAGATGCAAATGCTATGCCAACTCCAATGGAAGAAAGATTCTTAAAGAACACAAAAGAGAATTTGAACCTTTGAACAATGGAGACGAGTACAGGACTGCAGTGCGAAAACTCCTATACACAGCCAATATTTAGTCCAGTGACACTGGCTACGTATAGGAGTTTTCCAACTGCAGTCCTATACTTGTCTCCATTCTTCAGTTTGCCTTTGCCTTCCCCCGAGGCTGAGAGAGTGTGACTTTGCCAAGGTCACCCAGTGGGTTTCAACAGCCGAGCAGGGATCTGAGCCCTGGTCTCCAGATTCGTAGTCCAATGCTCAAACCACTACACCATGCGGCTCTTTGAACAAGGATGTACAGTCATTTACAGTCATTTAATGTACAGTTGTTCTTTTGACTTCAATGTAATGTACAGTAAGAAGACAATACTTTCTTGAGGAGGCAGCAAAGAAGAGCCAGAGCCAGCTGCCTTCCTTCCAGAAGCTGTTCTAGGAAGCAGGAAACGGTTCCCGGAGAGCCCCGGGACGGAAGCCCTTTCAGTCTTGCCATGGCAAAGGCCAACCGGAGCCAAGAAATGCCCCGGTTTTGGGTCGCAGGCCAACACTCTTCCGCTGGGAGATCATGCACTCTCTTTCTTCCCCCCTAAGACAACTTTTCAGAAATCAAATGATAGGTAAGCAGGAAGAGAAGGATGACTGTAAGGGATCACGCAGCCTAGAAGTGGGCCGGATTTTCTGCCCCCGGTATCCTCCAAGAGTGACAGAAACCACTAACATATTCTGCCTTTTTTCTTACATGGAACCCAAGGTAATTTCTGGTTTCTTCTGTAGCCTAACTCCTTCTGATTGCAACTGGTTCGCTTGGCATTGTTTTCAAGGCATTACTCTCACTCTAAGATTCCTCCTCCTTGCCTTGAGGAGCAAGAAACAGGGCCAGGCCCTGAAAACTGGGACCCCCAGCTGGTAATGCTGCTCCCTCCCAAATGAAGAGAAAAAAGACAAAAAATTTGGACTTGTCCCTAGCCACAGCCCTCCCTACGGAGAAGGGAATCCCCAAAAGCTTCTCCATTGCTAAAGACCGACCATAACAATACCCCTTTATATTGCCAGAATATATTTGCACAATTACGACATTCCCCCATAAAGGGGGACAAGGGGAGAGAAATAGCAAGAGATGAATGGAAACCACAGTCACTTTTAACGTTCAGGCGCATTAATTACTGCTGACAGATAAAATTGCTTTTTTAAAATAATAATAATAATAATATCAAGCGGTTTTGATGAGACGCTCGGAGGTCATTGCCAAGGCAATTAAACAGTTGACACTGTCTCTGGAAGGATAAAAGGAGGAGGAAGAGGAGGAAGAAAGGTCTGCTTTCATTTACTTTGTTGGGATGAGCAAGTGACCCATTGATAATGCTTAGGATAAGTAGTAAAAGTAGAGGAATTCTAACCAGAGCAAGTCTAGAACCCACCATGGAAAATAAATAAATAAATAAATAATAATAATAATAATAATAACAACATACACACACTGTCCCTGTCTTTTATGAGACAGAGAAATACATTATGTTTTTCCTTCTGCTTTTTCTAATTTGCTTTTGCTATTGGCTATCTAGTCAGCTTCCACTTATGAAAGCCAAGACTGTGGTCCAAAACCCATTGGAGAAATAATCCAGTTTGAGACTGCTTTAATTGCCCTGGCTCAGTCCTGGGAACTGGTAGTTTTGGGAGACATTGAGCCTTCTCTGCCAGAGAGCTTTAGTGCCACAATAAACTACAGTTCCCAGCACTGAGCCAGGACAGTTAAAGCAGTCTCAAACTGGATTATTTCTGCAGTGTGTTTTGGACCTGTGGCCTCTTGAGGGAATCAATCCATCCATAATGTGGTCTTCCTCTTTTCCTACTCTTCCATTTTTCCTCGAAATATCCTTTCCAGTGTGTCATGCCATCTCAAGGTATGTCCAAAGCATGGCAACCTCTTCTAGTGAGAAGTCAGGCTCGATTTGTTCTCCGATGAATGTATTTGTCCTTTTGGCAATCTGGGGCATCTTTAGTAATCTCCTCCAGCACATTTCAAATCCCTTCTGGCAACTGGATCTCCATCCCATCCAGAAAAGGATAAGACAGGAAAAACCTTTGGCCCGCTTGGTTTCCAAACAGAGTCCTGCAAACTTCTTCTCTTGCACTTAAAAAGATTGCTGGAGTTTACTTTGCACATGGAGCAATTTTCTGCCAACCATCTGTTGAATCCAGCTTCTCTCTCCCCCATAACGTTGCCCCCACACCAAATAAGTGGCCAAATTTGATTGCTTCCAAATAAAGCCGAATTAGTCCCAAGGCAGCAAGCGTGAGGCTGGCAAAGACCCCCCCGGCGATGCAGAGGCGGACAAATGGAGAAATATATTTTGGAAAGGAAACGATCACACCTGGCCAAGGTGCCAAACGCTATTAATGCCTCGCTTCACCGCTGTGCAGGACTGTCGTACCCAAGCCGCTAACCCAATTGATCCAGCCGCTGGCATCTGCACAGCTGCTCCTCTGGCCGAGGGTAAAATTAGGTTCGCTTTGAGCTTCTGGGACCAGAGAAGGAGACCGTCACTAGTGCTCTGCAAAGCTATTTCCTGAACAAAGCAAAGAAGAGTAAGCCTTTGTGCCATTCGCCATGGCAGGGGTGAGGAGAGATGGGCAATGGTCGGGGAATCTGGTGGACATAACCTCCAATATTTCATAGATGAAAAGCAGAACATGTAGCCAAGCGAGATCAGAGTGTGGTCAAGAGGGCAATACAGTTGGCCTCCGCATTTGCGGCTTTGACTTTTGCAGAATTGATTATTACCGGTTTTGATTAATAGGAATCTTTCGGTCCTCCAGCGCAACTCTGCCAAAAGTTGACCATGGAGTTGTGCTGGAGAACCTAGAAGTTCCTAGAGAAAACACTTCTCTAGGCATTTGTAGGTCCTCCAGCATGATTCTATGATCAACATCTGGCAGATGTTGACCACTGGAGGACCTGGAGATTCATAGAGAGGTGTCCTCTCTGGTAAAAAGAATAGTGGTGATTTTTTTGTAAAACATTCAAGGGTAACTGTGTTTAGCAAATTCAAACAAAAATCCATCAGTGATTTTTTTAATTTAGTTTTTCACATTCACGGGGGTCCTTCACCCCTAACTCCAGCAAATGTGGAGGGACGGACCCCTGTTGTTACCAATGTGGAAGAATGGACAAAACAGAAAGGTTACAGGAGATTGCTTTTGCCTGGGCCTGCTGGGAAGGAAGAGATTCCACTTTCCTTTCCTTTCCTTTCCTTTCCTTTCTGCTGAATTGAGTGCAAACTACTGTGGGACTTTGAACAGCAGCAACTGAAGTAAGCTGAAAACAAAGGGGGGAAATGAGAGGAGGAGGAGAAAGAAACCGGGACATTTGAAAGGCAGCTGAAGAAGTGGGATGACAAGAGGATTAATTGGGACTGTTCAAACAGGGAAAGTTGGAGGGGATCGGTGGGGTTTAGTTCTGCTTCTGTTTAGTTTAGTTCTCCTGTTAAGGAGATGGAAGGAGACTGGTATTCCCACACAAGAAGATTGGCTAATGAAGATGATGGAAATTGCAGAAATGGTCAAAGTCATGATGCTGATCAAAGAGATACCGTTGAATAGGTTTAAGAAAGATTGGAAACCATTTATTGCATTGCTGTTGTTGTTATGTGCCTCCAAGTCATTTCTGTATCAAAGGGTTTTCTTGGCAAGATTTGTTCAGAGGAGGCTTGCCATTGCCATCCTCTGAGGCTGAGAATGTGTGACTTGGCCAAGGTCACCCAGTGGGTTTCATGGCTGGCTGAGGATTCAAACCCTGCTCTCCAGTATCCTATTTCAACACTCAAACCACTAAATACACAGTCTAATTGGGGATATATATCAGTTTTAAGTTTTGTAAAATAAATAGAATTTGCATGTTGCAGAGGCATAAATATATGATTACATAGAAGGAAGGATAGTAATAGTGGTATATATATATAGCTATCAGTTGGGGAGATGGGAAGTCAGTAGTGTGTAGCTGTTTTTCTTTAGTAGTATAGGTAAGTTGTTTCTTGTTATTGTTATATGTATGTTATATGCCTTTTATTGTTAAATTTATAACATTTGTGTTTAAGAATAATAAAAATGATTTATTAACAAGTTCTGCCTCTGGCACATACTCAAAGGAATAGCATTGACAAGTGAGGACTGATATTTTGGGGACAAAACGTGTGAGCTAGGGACGATCCTTGGGACTACAATTCCCAGAGGGGGTTTCCGGGAGTTGCAGTGCAAAAGAAGGAACGCTTCTGAGCTCTGGGCTGGAGCCTCTCATTTCTAGGAAAGTGCTCTCTGCAGATCCTAAACAGCCATTGATTGGTATCCCATCGACCATGACTTGTTCTCCTTAGACCCGCAGCTTGAGATGTCCAGACTTTTGGCAGAGAAAAAGAAGGAAACAGAGGAGGTTGGTGGAGGGGATTTGGAGCTCTAAAGACTTCTTGTATTGGGTCCCCAGCAGCTTTTTGCAAACCCAGAAAAGCGTTCTTCTTCTCGACTCCCCCTCCTCTGCCTTCCTGGCCCCGGGAGTCCTCCATCGATGCCAATCATCCCGTCAAAAGCAGGGCAGAGATGGCAGACTCCCGGATGGAGGCAGACCCTGGGTCAGCAGCTGTCTCTGCTTCTTCTGCCCGAGACAAAATGATGGAATTGTAAAAGCTGGATGGTCAGCGGAACTGCAAAGGAAGGGTGGGAGGAATAGAGGGACTGCTGATGGACCATAGCAAGGGGGCAACCCTGGGTAGGAGACCCAGAAGCCCCAGGGAGAAGCTGCAAGCCAGGGAGCTGCTCTTCCAAATCCCACTCTCCATTTTTGACAGCGGAGAGGCAGAAACTGGAGTAGTACGTTCATTTGGTTGCTGGCATAGGAGAAGAACATGAGAATCACTCTTGTGAGCGAGGCACAATGCCGTGAGTAGAAGGAAACTGCAGAGCTTGGAAAACTGGCCCTTTTGGGATGGTAACAACAAAAGAGGTAACTTTTCCGAAATCTAGGAGACTGCCGAGCCAATACTGACAAAGATCTGTGAACACAGTTGTTGTTGTCGTCATAAAATTTATACATTCCCAAAAGCATACCTCGATTTTTCCATTTTATATAAGGGACACCATTCTCCTATGCTATTGGGACTTGAGTATCCATGGGTTTTGGTATCTGGGGAGGGTCCTTGAACCAAAGCCCAGAAGATACTAAGGGCCCACTGTATTTTCAAGCCATGGATGGTGGAATCAGTGGATGCAGAATTTGTGGAGACAGAGGTCCGAA